ATAATTTGTAATATTGATAACTATGATCACAGTCAATGATAATGATGATGATAATGATAACGATGATGACGACAAGGACGACGATGACGATGGTTCCAATGATAATGTAAATGAAGATAATAATGATAGTAAAATAATGTAATGATAATGATAGCAATATCAGCAATGTTAGTATAAATGACCACAAAATGACAATATCAAGGATAAATATACGAAAAAGGAAAAGAAGGACAGAGGAAAACCCTTACTTTTATCTTATTTTTGCATTTCTCCTTCTGGCGGTCATTGTCGGTGTAGATGACAACAGATTCCCCGTATCCCAAAACGATTTTCCCCTCACATACTTCTTGTATTTCTGGGGACCATAATAATGACAGAATTTATCAATATGGCATTCTCAATTTTATCTATGTATATCTTTTCTCATAAAATTGTAAACAATGAGATTGGTGTGATATTGGTGATGATAACAATGGAAATGGTAATGGGAATACCGAAAATATTAATGATAATGGTATCAGTATTAATGATAATATTAGTATCAATGATAATAATAGTAGTGATAATAATTGTGGTGATCATGATAATGTTGATAATGATAGTATTGATGACAGAATACAGATATTTATTTCATGTACTTATGATAATGACAAAACTGAAATACGAAAATAAAACGAAGACTTTGATGCCAATAATATTGAATCATAGCAAAAAAAATGCATCTGGGACTCGATTGTTATTTAATTCAAATGACAAAGACGGAAAAAATAAGAAACTGACTCACCAATAGTCCCCGTGTTTCTTACACTGGGTTCTATGTTTTTGGAGATACTTGGTGGTCGGTTGATTTTCTCAGAGTTTTTGTCCTTGCCTTTATGAAGGTTTCGGCTCTTGATAATGTTCGTTTCAGATTGGTTGTTTGGCTTGACTTTCTTTTCCTCTTTAGTGGCCTTTTCTTGCTTCCCTTCGCTTACTTCCTTTTGTTGGTTTGTTCGTTTCGCGTTGAACTTGTTTTGATTTTGCCCTTTTCTGCTCCTGTCCTTGTCTTGATCTTGTCCTCGTTTCTCGTTGCCTTTATTATATTTCTTGCCTTGCTTGTTCGTTCCCCTGCCATTCCCGTTCTTATTTCCATCGCCCTTTTCTCCCTTGTCTTTATCTTCTTTCTTGCCTCCCTTCGTATTCGTATTTCCCGTGGGATTTCTATCCCCCTTGTTCTTCCTGTCCTTTTTCCCATCCTTTTGCTGTCCTCTCTGCCTGTTGAATTTCCTTTGTTGCCTACGTTTCTCGGCTCTTGAATTTTGACTTTGTTTCCTTTTCCTCTCTTCCTTCGGTTCTGATTTTTTTCGCGCATTCTTGATATTACTTATCTTTTTCACTTGCTTTGGTGTTTTCCCTTTCTCCTCCTTTTCTCTTTCCTTGTTACTATTTCCATTCTTCGCGTATTTAGTTCCCTTCACATTTAACTTGCCCTGTTCTTTCGGCGTGTTTCCCTTGCCCGGTTTGACCTCCCTCTCGCGCCTGTCAAGAACTGTGTCCTCTGCTGTCAAGTCTGGAATGTCTTGGTCGTGTCTCTCATTTTGGTCAGCCTGTGCAAGCGAAAAAGGTTGCTTTCTCGTTATCTTTTTTTTTCTTTTTTCCCTATCCTCTCTCTCTGTTTATCTCTCTGTTTCTCATTCTTTTTCATTTTCTCCCCCTCCCTCCTCTCAAATTTTCTTTTTCCCTTCCCACTTTTTGTTTCTCCCTCTCTCACCTTTTGATAAGCACCCACTGCTAGAGCTACCAGCAGCAGCAGTAGAAACAGCCGCATCTTCGAGCCTGAAAAAGATGGTTTTCAGAGGATTAGACACATGTATCTATGTATATAAATCTTTATTTATCAGTCTTCATATATATATAATATATATAGATTATATTAATTATATATATATATATATATGTGTGTGTGTGTGTGTGTGTGTGTGTGTGTGTGTGTGTGTGTGTGTGTGTGTGTGTGTGTGTGTGTGTGTGTGAGCAGCGATAGGTTATCCATCACTCTTGTATGGAAACTGTCAACAATAGGTATGTAACCAAGATACAGGCTATATATGTGATCGTAGGAAATGAAATATCATACATTACCAGAAAACCTAGCAAAGATTTCTCATTTATCATGGAAAATTATTAATATCTGAACCGAATCTTTCCGACTAACGGCTGATCTTAATGTGATATAGATTTTATAATGGTAATCTTCCGTTGACACCCTGTCTTACGCTATGAATCCCTTTCATAGTTTAAATGTATCTAGAGTTTTCGTTTATTTACCTTGCTTATGATGGATAATACATATGAAGGCCCATCATTTCCAATTTCATTGACAAAAGTAGCCTACCGATTTCTGCTCCCGGTTCAACCTTTCCATTGTTATTATTTTCTCTCATATCACTGAACACGTGTCTGATAACGACAAAAGGACAGACAACACATGGTACATATAGTAAGCATTGTTATTTGTAATGCT